TTCTTACTAAGGCCTTAGCAAGGCTTTGCAATGCCCACGAACAAACCAAACTACAAAGGCCTGCTAGGCTCTACTAAGGCCTGCCAGCCGTTGCTAATGCTTGGCAAGCCTTGCTTTCCGACCATCAGCTTCTGCTAGCAAACTCCATTTGCCATACCCCCTTAGGGGGGTCCCTCTAAATCATAATTCAGTCAAGGGCTATCAAAGCAAAATGCCCCCAAGCCCCAGAAACCTGCGCCTAGAACCTTGAATGACCATACATGACCTGCAGAATGCTGATCCTTATGAAGAAGACTCCCCACGTCAGTACCATCTGCTGCCTGGCTTACCCCGAGTCCTGGTCCTGATCTTACATTCCATCGGTGAGGAAGCTGGGGCACCATGCCGCCCCACGCCGACTCCTGGTTCTGGGAGGCTCAGGTTATACTTGGAGGTTCATGGGTAGTTATAAGTGGGGTTATAAGTCCCCTAATATGGGTTATAATTATAGTTACCCTACTTATAACCCTACTTATCACTACCCATGAACCTCCAAGCAAGAAAGCCAGAGTTCCCCTCTGCTTGGCTCTTTGTCTCCTTCAGTCTGCCCATAAGCACGCGCACCCCTCGGATTGTGATTGAAACTGGTCGAATGGTAAAGGGCCTGCACGGAACTGCACGGACTGCCTGCACATGAGCGTTAGCTCACACCTAGGCTGGATTTTTCGCGTCATGTAGCTCGGAAAGCATGCCCAGTTTGGAGCATGGCGAATCAGGCAGGTATGCACTGGAGGGAACGTACCCGACACCACGACCCACCAGACACGAAGGCGCCCCTGTGAATCCGAGTCACTGCGGTCAATCCAAAACACATGCGCAGGTCCCAGGGTGAGGCAAGCATGCTCTCAAGTGGGAAAGGATGTGCACAGAGGCAGCTCGGAGAACCGTGCTAGTTTCCTTCTCGGCGAGCGGGAAAACTGCAGCACTCACTAGCTCTCTTTCCAACTCTCTCTCTCTCTCTCTCTGGCTCTCTCCAACCTGGCCTAGGATTGCAGGGGGACTCTTTTGATTTGACTCATTCGAACGGTTCAGTGCAGTCAGTCTACTTCATCTACGAGTTCACGCTCTGTGAACGTCCGAAAATGTGTCCAGAATGCACCCTCCCCCTGCGACCAGTTTCCACAGAGTTGCAGAAATGCGCGCCTGCCCCCGCAACAGGTTGCAGGCCGGCAAAAGAGAGCAGCGCAATGAGTTGGAATCACGTTGGGCGGAACGGAAACTCCAACAAACCTCGTGACGCTACTCTCGCGCCTCGCACTTCGGCACGTGTCGACAGATTTCCCGCGACATATGCTGCACCAGCCTCACGTGTGGCTGGCATCAGACCCGCATGAGGCGAAGTGGTTGAAGCCGCAGGGTTGCCAAGGACATGATCATAAATTCACTGACTTAGTAGGAGGTTGCAACTCCACTACCTACAAAGCCCTGCCCTCCCACAGGGCAAGCATCATTCGAGGTCTTAGACACATGGTCTGACGGCTTTTCAATGCTGCCGTGCGGCTCTAGGGCTGTGGGCACCATCAGCCGAAAGTCCTGTGACCGGGAGGATAAAGTTCTACATACATGGGAGTTTCCGAAAATAAGGGGGCACCTTATTTCGGGGCCCTTATAAGAAGGATCCTACTATCTAGGGTACTATATTAGGCTCCCCTATTTTTGGAAACCCCCACATGACCCAGAACCTACACGTAAGGAGTTCCACCGAAGCTCCACCCACTGAAATGCACCTGGCACGTTAGGAGGTGCTGGCCTTTCCGGTGCAAGAGGTAGACATCGCACTTTGCTATCTATGAAGGATGCTGGGGCTGGATTTGCCGAGGCCCTAGGTACACGGGAACGAGCAGGCGTAATTCCAGCAGGGTGCTCTGCAATACTTTGCTGTCCAGCGTGGGGAGGTTGGTCAAAGAGTGACGACAGCAAGGCATCACAAGCAGAGGTGGAAGAGCCTCGAGCATCCGACATGAACCCCGAACCCATGAAGCCCCTCAATCAATGATCAGGAAATCACTAGCTTCACAAGGGAGTTGGTCCAGCTGGCGTGCGATGAAAATCTCGTCCTTCTTGATCTGATTCAACCTCCACGGTTGCTGGCGGGCTGTGATCACTGTTGGTCTGACCATGCCTCGAAAAGGCTTTGGAATTTAGGGCTCTTGCTCAGCTGGGCAGCGGTTGTGTGTTCGTCGGACTTTTTGTTTGCAGACCTTCAGACGACAGCCAAGCCGCGTCACATCGCCAGAGCCACTAGCTCTATGTACGTTACCCACCACCCTTAGCATGCTCATGACTATTGTCGGGTGTGAGTACCTATGCCCGGTTCGTGAGGCTTGGCCTCAATGCGGGGCTTCGCTCCCATGGAAGTCGCACAACATCGCCGAGCTTAGGTCTCCGTCACAGGAATGAGTTTCAGCTGCTTCAGTTTTGGGAGTTTCCGAAAATAAGGGGTACCTTATTTTGGGGTCCTTATAATAAGGATCCTAGTATTTAGGGTACTATATTAGGGTCCCCTATTTTCGGAAACCCCCATATGGATTGGGGACCCTCTTGGCCCTTTTCCCTGTCCTCTGTCTGGATAGCTTGGTCTCGCCCTCTTTCAGCGGGACCTGTCCGATGCCCCGGCTCCAAATGCTGGCTTACCCTATGACCGTTTCAACCGAGCTCCGTGTCGAACAACTGGCTGGCTGAGGCTACATGCCTATCGTGCACACCCAGTGGCGCAGTTTGAGGACAACAGAGACCTTTCCTATCCTGACCTGCAAAACCTGAAGTCACCAACCTGCGTACATCCTTGATCTCTACGATCTCCCTGAGTCGCGATCTTGATGTCCGAAGGAACCGTGCATGCACACACAAGGTGCGCCAAGTCTGGCTGTTCCTTTTCGGGCTGCGGTTGAAAATACAGCGATTCAATTTAACGTTTTCCAAATCCAGATGCAGGCTACCTACATTAGGCGGGAAATAGCTCAACACGGTTGTTGCTTTCCCGACACTCTCACTTGAATATCAAAACCTGTCCCCCGCCCCCCGGCCAGAGGCGACAACAGGTCAATCAGCGCAAGATCCTGAGGGCGACTCGAAAGCCGGATCTACTGCTGTTGACAGCGATGTTCGACGTTGTCGGGCGACACGAAACTCCTGTTCCTTTCGCTTCTCTGCTTTATTCCCCATCGAAGGTGACTGAGGCGGGGGCAATTTCTGATTCAGCTTCGGACCTTGCGTAGACTCAAAGCTGCAGGTGTTCCGGCCAGGTGTTGCTGGACGCCCAGTCGCAACCCCGCAGGGAAACTAGCAACTCTGCCGTCTTACGCTTTGGCCGGGGGCTGGTGGCCTCCTTAAAGCCACTTGGAGGTTCATGGGTAGTTATAAGTGGGGTTATAAGTCCCCTAGTAGGGTTATAGCTATAGCTACCCTACTTATAACCCTACTTATAACTACCCACGAATTCAGACGCGCAGCTTGGTGCATTGAAGCTTTTAAGTCTTTCGGTTCGCTGAGGCCTTCCCAGAGACTCCAAAACCCCTTAATTAAGGAATATACCTTAACTTATAATAGGATCCCTAATATGATTTAAGGTATATTCCTTAATTAAGGGGTATTGGAGTCTCTGGGTTGCTGTTCGTCGGCTCAGTGCTTGAGAGTTCCAGTGCCCAAGACAAGACGAGTCTTCTCGGGGCTGAAAGCTTGTCTACTGGGGGCCATTGCAGGAGCATAAGCCCTCCACATCTTCAGCGCGATGTACACCGAGGCCATCCACAAGGATTCGCAGCCCATAGTCTGAGCAAGTGCGCAGTCTTTGAGTTTCCACGAATCCGTACGGTTGCACCCAAGGGATCCCATTGCGGTTTCAGAGGCTTGAAGTTGCTGAAATAGGGCGTGATAGGGAGGACAGACGGGGAGAGAGACAGAGAGAAAGACATAGAGCCATGTGCACGTATGTATATATTCAATGTATGTATGTGTATATATTTATATACATACATACATGTGTGTGTACATACGTATATGTATGTTGTTATAAAGTGTGTTTGCTTACTCACCCACTTACATACATTTATATATATATATATGTACACATAAATAAACACATATGTACATACATATGCATACCTGCATACAGAGAAGTATCATACATACAATCATGTGGGGTTCCAGGTTTTGGCACCAACAGCAGTAGTTGTAGTAGTAGTAGTAGCAGTAGTAGTAGTAGCAGTAGTAGTAGTAGAAGTACTAGTAGTAGTAGTAGTAGTAGTAGTAGTAGCAGTAGTAGTAGTAGTAGTAGTCGTAGCATTAGCTTCAGCTTCAGCAGCAGCAGCAGTTGCAGTAGCAGTAGCAGTAGCAATTCTCGCAGAAGTCGTAGTCGTCGTCGTAGTAGCAAGTAGCAGTAGAAGTAGTAGAAGTAGTAGTAGTAGTAGTAGTAGTAGTAGTTGTTGTTGTTGTAGTAGTAGTAGGAGGAGTAGTAGTAGTAGCAGTAGTAGTAGTAGTAGTAGTAGTAGTAGTAGTAGCAGAAGCAGGAGCAGTAGTAGTAATAGTAGTGGCAGCAGCAGTAGCAGTAGCAGTAGCAGTAGCAGTAGCAGCAGCAGCAGCAGCAGCAGCAGCAGCAGCAGCAGCCGTGGCAGTAGTAGCAGAAGTCGTCGCAGTTGTAGCAGCTGCAGCAGTTGGAGGCGGACAGCCACACACGTCACGATAAAACGCGCAATCCTTCCAAAACCAATCGGTGTTTTGTTCAATTCTGGATGGCTTTACATAGATACCTTCACTTACATGTCGATATCACGATTGCCCTTGTGCGTTCTTGCCGTGCGCTCTTGCGCGCACGGCAGTTTTCAGTGTTTTTGAATAGGGGTGTTTGAATCATCTATAGCATTAAGTCAAGAGCAGGCGGTTTAGATCAACCCTCATATCATACATACACCTACATACATACATACATACATACATACATACATACATACATGTTTAGCTCTCGCGTTCAGGCGAGGTTGTGGTGGTACTCCAAGTTTACCAACTCATCACGAGCCGATCTCATGCTCCCTTGAGCCTGAGCACTTCTTATTTTACATACATACATAAATGCATACGTGCATGTATGTACAGAAGAGCATATTTTTGCATATGGGCTGGGCTTCATGCATGCTGACCGAATGCAACGAAGCATCAGCTCGGCTCGCAGAATGGCTCTCAGATACACTCAGGAACACCAGAACCTGGAACATCCCCAACCATCTCAGGGTTGGATGGGTTGCAAGATGATACCGTTTTGTATCACCATCGCAAACCGAGTGGGACAGCTAAACCCTAAACAATAAACCCTAAACCCTAAGCCCTCATCATAAACAGTCAACTGTATTCGGAGCCGGACCCACGCCGCAGCTTGCTTCGACCTCCCCTGGCAGTTGCATTGACACAGGCCAATCTTGCTAGGTGCGATGCCTCTGAACAATCAGATCAAGAGTCAAGAGTGCGCGTACTTGGAGGTTCATGGGTAGTTATAAGTGGGGTTATAAGTCCCCTAATATGGGTTATAATTGTAGTTACCCTACTTATAACCCTACTTATAACTACCCATGAACCTCCAAGTAGGATAGCTTATGAGGGTCTTGGAATGGAAAGCCTCTGACCAAGAATCCAAGACAACCATTGCTATGGGTATTGAACCCTACATGGGGGTTTCCGAAAATAGGGGACCCTAATATAGTACCTTAAATAATAGGATCCTTATTATAAGGACCCCAAAATAAGGTACCCTAATTTTTGGAGACTCCCACATGGTTATAGCTGGCCGGAGCTCTGCAAAATCCATGGTGTGCCCCTCCCCAGCTCTCTAGTGGACAAGGTTTAGGGTTTAGGGTTTAGGGTTTAGGGTTTAGGGTTTAGGGTTTAGGGTTTAGGGTCGGTTGAAGGTTCTGGGTAGCCACGAATCCCGACATGGGGGTCTCCGAAAATAGGGGACCCTAATATAGTACCCTAAATAATAGGATCCCCATTATAAGGACCCCAAAGTAAGGTACCCCCCTATCTTCGGAAAGTCCCACATGATCTTCTTAAACCAGCACTTCCCAACACCCCGTCGGGTGCCTGCATTTGGGGCATCTCCTCACCTGCAACCCAAGGCAAGAGGCAAGTTTAGGGTTTTAGGGTTTAGGGTTTAGGGTTTAGGGTGTAGGTTTAGGGTTTAGGGTTTAGGGATTAGGGTTTAGATTAGTATGCTGCCTCTGGCTTATGAAGGGTCACGCAGCTTGGAGGTCTGAAAACTTCTGCGGAGGAGAACGCCTAAGAGGGTCCCTGACTCACAGATACGTTGGAAGATCTGGCGTCGGAAACCCTTACAGTGGAACCCCGGAACATCTGCCAAGAGGCTCTCCCCTAAAACAAAGCTGGTTGCTGCTTGGCTCTGCTGAGCCCCTCGCAGGCGTGCATATTCACGGCCAGGCGATCCATGTAGGATACAGCCTCAGGTCGATGTTTCACATCAAACAACTTCAGGTAATTACTGTCGAGGTTCCCGAGCTGTGAAGCCCAGCCCTGCAAGAACTTGCTCGTTTAGGCTCCATAGGGCTGTGTACGGCTGTTACGACATAGTGGGTGTTGCGCATGCATGGCACCTGAAGTATGTCAATCTACAACGCTTCTGGAAGTAGATATGCTTTATACAAAACGTAGTATCGGCACGGCGAGGACCACCTCAATTAAGGAACAGGGCGTCCAGAGTTGCTCCGCGCACTAAGATACAAGCGCCCCTTGGGGCCAACCCCTGCAACCCTACAATCCTATCCACAGCTCTCAAGCTCTCGACGGCAGGTTTCAATCTAAGTTCCAAACCCTGTTGAACTTTTGAGTCCGAACCCTGGCCCTAAACCCAGACACTTCTTGAAGCTGCTTCTTCTCCAGGACAGAGCTCAGGCTGAGAGACACCAGCCAAGGTCTCTTGGTCCTCTTGCAACTCCAAATGCTTCTGCAAGGCGCCAAGGCCCGAAAGTTGGTTTCGACTCGCACACTCGCTCGAAGCCGACACGCATTCCAGCATCCCTTCAGAAGCGAGACCAAGCAACATGGAAAGTTGGTTTAGTGCCTGCCTTGTCTATCTTGGGCTTTTTAGCTTGCCCTTTCGCAGCGGCTCTCCGCTGCGTAGGTGGCATAGGAAGGGTGATGAGTTGGTCAGTATCGGGCCTGATGTCTAGAGCAGCTCACTCTGATCCAACCGACCGAACCGCTCCAACTGTGAAGCAGACGAGCTTGTGGCCCCTGCAGCTTACCTCCTCCCCCTTTGTAAACCCCAGGCCCGCAGACCAAGACCTCGATTCCAAACGCACGAGACTGGAAATCAACACGTTTTCAGCCCTGAGCATACACCCTAAGTAATAAGTTGATGATACTTTCTTAGTTGTCTCTTCTGCGAGCTGTCAGAACCTTGACAAATCTGAGCCCCAGGCATCTGCAAGCCACTCGTCACGGTAGCCCAAACTGGAAAACCTGAGTGCTGAGCCCGGCTATGAGGTCGACCAAGTTTCATCGCCGACGAGCAACGTGGGCCCTAGTGCCTGCAAGCTCTAATAAGTCGTGCCGCTTACTGATTGCTTATTGTCGTGGCTCCCGGCGATCGAATTACACTCGATGGCACCTGCATCTTGCAACTCACCCTCACCCTGCTCCGACAGAGTGGACTACAAACGTACTACATGTTACGACATATGCATACAGGCCTCCCGAAGTGCAAAGGCAATGATGACAACAAATTCGGTGCATGACTTCAATGCTAGTGCGCATGCTCATCACCATGACCCCAAAGCAACAAAGCCACAAGACTAAACCTAAATCCTATTTTAACTGGAGCGCTCTGAGCCCCATGCCGGCTTGTAAACCTGGCAGTGGCTACATGGCGGCATAAATTCAAGCTTGTCGAAAAGCAAAGTCCCCTCAGCTTTCCAGATGAAGCCACTTTGTGTATGACACACTCAGCTCGATCCGTCCCTGGCGTGGCTGTTTCGCCCAGGACGTCAGACACAAAATGTCTCAAGCTAGCGATCTTCATCTCCAATGAAGCCACGGGCCCTGGCACAGGACTGTTTTGGCACTCGCGCTCGACGAGGTCAGGCGAAGTTTCGGGGAGACACGTGCTCATCATGAGCCCGCCTGGAAGCCAGTGACGCAGCAGATCCTCCCCTCTCCTTATTCAAGGTCCCATGGCCCATGTCTCAAGTCAGACCCAAGCGGCTTCTCAAATGCCATCACTCCACAGCCCCTGCAGCTCGCGTCCGAGCTGCCGAGCACATGGCACCCTCATTCTCTCCTGCTTGCACTCCGGAGCCATTGCACGGCAGGAGCAATGTCCAGAAGGCCGGCAGAAACCCAGAGACTCCAATATCCCTTAATTAAGGAATATACCTTAAATCTTATTAGGGTTCCTACAATAATTTCAGGTATATTCCTTGATTAAGCGATATTGGAAGCTCTGGGAAGGCAGTGACTGTCCAAAACTTCCGTCCAGCCTCAAGCTGCCGGACACATCGGAGAAGTCACCTCCAGTGGTCCAGAAGGACCCCCACAGAGGACACTGGCTACACCATCATCTTCTTGACCCCCTTCTTGGCCCCCGAAGCCGGAGCGTCCGTAGAAAGGCAGCGATTCTCTCGTAGTTCATCCAGTGGCAAGTTGCCCGATACACCGGAAAAGCCGCCTCCAACCGTGGGACGGGATCAACTTCACTGTCAATCTCGCGTAACCGCAGCAGCGGCGGCAGCAGCAGTCATTTATCCAATAAAACTTACAGAGTCGAATTCCTTCCAGCGGACCTCCACACCGAGTGTCGGCCCAATCGGGGTCGCATCATGGTCCAAAGCCGGATGCGACATAGCATTCCAACCGACTACCAGTATCTGAGCAGTTACGAAGCAGTCCGGTTCGTCGGGCGGTTCAAACCCTAAACCCTAACCCTAAACCCTACATAATCGTTATCGGTCTTGGAGGTGAGGCGAGCCCTCGGAGGCCTGCGCTGCAAGTAAGACAGCTTCCACGCCGAGACGAGGAATTCCACGGCATATATGGGTAGTTCTCCAAATTAGGGTCCCTTTTAGGGTCCTTAATATATGGGTGCCGTACTATATTGGAGACCTAAAAAGGGACCCTAATTTAGAGAACTGCCCATATAGGTGCAGCATGGCAGCAGCGACCCTCTGGTACGAGTGCGCGTTTGGGCGCCATGGAACGGAGGTCGTTTCTGTCTCAGGTGTGTTGTGATCCAGGGGGCATTATAGATAATTATAGTTGAAACGTCGTTGAAGCTGTGCAGTGATGGAGGTGCCTCGTCGGACACTCATAGATAATTAGTGACCAATGAGTATGTACTTGCAAGAAACCACTTGGAAATGATGGTTAGCTGCAATTGCAAAACAGAGGCCAAACACGAAGTGTGTTGACGCGTCCGCCACGAAGCAAGTTTCTTTCTGTGCGGAAACATGCGGAAACAGAACTGCGTGTCTCGCAATCTGACCCTTCAGCTTGGCTACAAATTTGCGCCCCGGTTTCTGATGTTTTCAGAAGCCCGGGACAGAAACATGTGCTTTAGAGAGCTGCCTACGGCGCCCCGGTGTTCAGCGTCAGTACGCGGCCTCTTCGGCCCATGAGGCTGCTGCCTCTCAGATTCAAGACCGGCATAGCGGGAGCGGGCGTCACCGGGCTAATGGGCTCCGTGCCGGGGTCGTCGGTTGTACCCACACTCTCCGTCTGCAGAGATGTGATTCTTGGCCGGCGAAAAATCTCCATGGAGCTACGTGTGCCCGAATCACTAGAAAGGTCCAAGCTGTCGTTCCTTACTGCCACGGCCTGAAACGCATCCAGAGGAACCTCGTCCGGGAGGTCTCCCAGCAAGCTGTACAGATTGTCCCAGGAGAAGTGGTCTGAGCGAATCGAGTCGAGATAGTCCTGATACCGGTTTCTCGAGCGTGTTCGAGACCGAGGGGACGGCACATCGTACTGCACCTCCGCTCCCACAACATGAACCTCCCACCACTGAAGCCGCGCGTGGCGAAGTTGAGACTCTTCTTCAGTTTCAGCAGACAAGTCAGTCGAGGGCGTCGCATGTTCAGGCACAGATGCCTCTGCATCGGTGGCAGAGGTTGGAGCTATCATGTCCGCCTCGGTTATCATGAAGCTGAACTGGTCCTGAAACGTCTTGGGTGTGACGGAATCCGGCGAAGCGAATGACTGCTTCTGCCAGAAATGGGCCATGAGTCCACTGCAATAAGGAATTGAGCCCACATCCCAAACCGATGTGCTGGGAAGCACCTTCATGCAAGTTTGCACCATGATGCCATGAGACACCACGATCAAGTTCTTATTCCCGCGGCGGCTTCTGCTCAAATATCGCAGAAATCGTCGTGCATAGCGCTGCCGTGCCTCCGGGATCCGCTCCCCCCATTTTGGGGCCGCGCCTAACACCCTCTGCCAACAAACGCGGAGAGCTGGAGATTGGGAGAAGCCGTTCTCCTGCTTCGGCTCCCAAGCTTCCAGGGCCTTGTGCAGCTCGTGCCGCGTGCGCCATGCGCGTGGGCGCGCAGCCAACTCTCCGAAGATGTCGGGGCCGAAGACTTCGCCCAATTCTTGGTCGAGGAGGACCACCAGATCCAACTCATCCGCTATTGCCACGGCTGTCTGGACACAGCGTAGATATGGCGAGGAAACGATGATGCCATAGTCGCCAAAATCACGGAGTGTACGTCCCACCTCCCTGGCGGCCCTCACGCCCTCGTCAGTGATTGGACAATCTCCAGGATATTTCGCTGCGTCCTCCGTCTGATGCCAGCCGGAATCGAACACCGCATCCTGGCGCTCGCCGTGCCGAAGCACTGCCACAGAGGCCTGAGGCCGGTAAGCCATCTCTTCACCTTCGGCTCCTGCGACTCCTTCTCCTTCGACCTCGAGAGAAAGAGCTGGCAAGTCATGCAAGTCCTGGCAGGCCTCGGCCGGGATGCGGGTCGGGCTCGAAGAAGCCATGGACCTCTTGAGCTCGAGGATGGAAGCCAAACTTCTCGCCGGCATGGCCCTAGGAACGGCCGGCCCCGGCCCCTCGGCGGAATGAAGCTGCGCGAGCTGCATCCAAGAATCCTCGTCGTGGCTTGAGGTGTCATTCCAGGACCGAAGTTGCTCCAGGCTCTCTGCATTGGCCTGGCTCCTCTCTGCCGCGGCCCAGACTGTGCGAACCACGGAAGCATGACCCCAGGAGTGCAAGATCAGCAGCAGCACTGCGCCAATCATGAACTGGTACAGCACGGCGGGATGTAGCCTCCAACCCGGGATCATGCTTTCCAACCATGAGAGGTATATACAAGAAAGGACTACGGCCATGGCCATGACTACGGGGTGAACATGGGAAAGGGAGAGCACGAACAGTGCTTCAGCCAGTCCCACCCCCGCGATCGGCGCCGAGAAGATGGCGAAGGCCGGAAGACTGCGCAGGCACGTGATGTCAAGCATCCACACGTGGAGCGCAAAACTCATCGCCGAAGGGGCAAGTGCACATGCCAGAAGAGGCAGATCCTGCGTCAGGGCATAGCCCAGAAAGCCGACCCATCGCAAAAACGAGGTGATGAAACCTGTCATGACAATCACCAGCAAGCTGACAGCACCATGACTCAAATCTTGCTGTAGCATTGCCGGAACGACATTGCAAGGCCCACCAACAGTTGGCGTCTGCACAAACCTCAAGGCCACATCCACGTACACCATATGGCTACCCCAAAGAATGATACAGCAAATGATCGCCGCCGGGATGTTCCTGGAAGACAGAGGTGAATCCGTTACAGACTCATGCGTCGACCTCGCCCACCACCGCCAGAAGCTGGACTGCTCCGGTCTTTCTCTGAAGCTGGTGCGCCCACTCTCAGGGACCACTTGCCCAGTCTTGATGGCATAGATTTTGGAGGTGAAACTGAACAGGTACCAGCACCAGACGGCTGCTGGATATGCGCACAAGACCAAAGCCCTCTGTAACGATTCATTCGCAAAAAGGCCAGGTTCGTGCCACGACTGATTCATGAGGAAGTCCTCCGGGAAGATAGTCGTGAAAGATCTCGAAATCACGAAGACAACCGGAGCAGAAAGGCTTAGCGGATGCAGCTTCAAAGTCATGAGCAGCATAAGTTGGACTCGCCAATAAAACCGCCACGTTGCGACAAGCTCTGGGATCCCATGTCGACATAGCTCATCCATCGCTGCACACATGACCAGTGCACTGGCGGCTTCCACCTTCAAGGCGTGCACACGATATATGCTAGGCAAAAACAGGAAAAACGCCAGAATCAAGATAGCCAGACCTAGCCGAATGTTGGCCACCAGTCTGTCATGATCCTTGCATCTGCCATCCCAGTGAGCGTAGAGCCAGTGGTCCAAAGCCCAATAAATATTGTAGATATTCAGAACCTTCGGGAGAGACTGCCGTTCCAGAAAAGGGCTTGTGAGCAGCATTGGGTCGGTCGTGTCTCTCCACCAATTCCGACATGATCTGCCTGCAGTTCGTAGGCGGTCCATGGCTCTGAGAAGGGTCGAGGCTAGGCAACACTGCAACGCTTCGTGGCTTCTGGGGTCAGGGCCAAGCTGGCGCTCATACCTTGAGCCAAACTGGCTTCGGGCAGAGGACTTGTAGACATCTGGCTTCGGGCTGGAACAGATTTCAAGCAGCCCGCTGATCACATTGCCAAACGTGACTGATCGAAACCCTGCCATCAGCAGCAGCGACAGCAACAAACCCACGAGCCATCCCTCTTTGCAGGTGGACAGGCTGAGGGAATGGGATTTGCGGCGGCGGATGTTTCGCCGGGACGGAAGAATTGCAGTATGGCCCAATGCCTTTCCCGTAGATCCTCTGATATTTCATGACTGCTTGCTTGCAGCAAGTCTTAAGTCGCAGCGCGCCCAGGCGCAATAGACTGCACGAAACTGCATCATGCAAACGTATCACTCCAGAACCGATATCCACAAACATGACCCGAGAATGAAACCTCTTGTCTTCATCTCTTTGATTCTTTTAATTTCGACCTGTGTCTCGGGCCGCCCTTGGTCTCTCCCTGTCTCCCCATTCGATCCGGCATCTGAAGGTCTGAATGGATCTCTCAGCATGATGGCAACCGTGCCGCGAGCGCCAGCGGATAGCTTTGATCCTCACACACAGGCAGCTGAAGGAGTTCAAGCTGGCCTCTGCTCCCGCTCTTGCTGTATCGTTGGAGTAGCTTCCATGCTTCCGATTTATTCCGAAGGTGCGAGTTTCTGCAGCTCCACTTGCCCTAGTCCAACTGCAGCGGTAGCATCAATGTGTTCCAACATGGCGTTGGGATGACTAGACGAAGCTTTCGTGCTGTTCGGCTTTCGGCCCATTGAAACCCTTCGCGCGCTCCTGGGCGCTGCCACTTGTGATGCGTCCAGCACAGATCCGCGAATCTGGCAGCGAGGCTGGCAGGCATGAACATGAGCAGCCGCAACACTTCTCCAACACGCAAACCTGCAGTGGCAGCAGCAGCAGCAGCAGCAGCAGCAGCAGCATTAACGGTCGTCAAACGTGCTTAGTTGGCACAGCCGTAGTCGTCACCATATTACAGAAGAAAGGCGCAAGCGGCCAGACACGGCGGCACGCAGCAGCAGTCGTCGTCGTCGTGGTGGTGGTGGTGGTGGCAGTGGTACTACGTGATTATTATCATTATCAGTAGTAGTAGTAGTAGTAGTAGTAGTAGTAGTAGCAGTAGTAGTAGCAGCAGCAGCAGGAGTAGTAGTAGTGTCACAAGCTTCTTGCTTCATCGAGACTCTGTGTCGCCATGGATGGACTTTC